GCAACAGCAGTGAGCAGCAGAGGTGGGGAGAGGCGGGGCTGTGGCTTCATCTTTATCAGGAAATGATCGTATAGAGCCGTTTACCCAGAGCGTTCCATTTGCAGATCTATCCACCTTGGGACCCGTTATCGTTTGCGGGGTCGGTTCGTTACGGCCTCGGTTCGTTACGGCCTCGTGTGAACGAACGGGCTATACGCAAGAGAAAAGTAGCGGATACAACCCCTTTAGTTCTCGTGTAAACAGCACCTAAAGTGACCTTTAAGGTTCACTGGAAAGCAAATCAAATTGTCTGCTGGCTGTGAGGTTTCTGCAAACACGTCCGATACTGGGAATTTGTTTTCATAGAACAGCACTATTGAAATGGCACGTTGGGAAAGAAAAAAAAAGTCATAGATTCAGCAACTTATTTCTTCTCACTTCCTACCCATCAACAAAGTGATTATGGCAATAGAATTAAGATTGGAAGCCTTTGTGTGCATTCATTCTGCCAATTTGTTATAATAATAAAAGAAAATACTCACACAGAGTTGAAGAGGTAGGCTCGCCCCTGACTGCCTTGAAACGACTGAAGACAAACAAGAGAAAGTGTTATTGTGTCCATTTGACATGTGAATCAAACAACCTGAATGTATTTTTAGTTTACAATACGGCTTCCATCTTTGGGAGATTTGTAATTAGTTTCGTCAGTCAAGTTATTCCAGTTTTGCTACTTTCTATGAGACAGTCATGAGGCGGCGTCTATATGTGCCTCCTGAAATGAGTATTGACAACAAAAGGCAGGCGGCATTCTTACCTTGGAGATGAGGTCGTCATGGTTGGCCAGGTGGGCGCGGCAGTGCACACAGCTGTAGCGACGGTGGCACGTGTCCAGGTACGCCTGGAACGTCTTGGCCTTTGTCAGCTTCACCATGTCTGAAGCAGGGAGGGAGCAGGATGTTGGTGTTGTTGTACATGTGTTATTGTGTTGAAATGTGCTATTTATACAGCACATTTCAACACAAGGCTACTGCTAACACACACTGGTTAAACAGATTTCATTTTGCAGAGTTATTGCAGCTTTCAACATGCTACCACTAATTTAAGACCACATGAAGTATTTGTATTTTGCCATCATACTGTCAGACTAATGAAGGACAATGAGTACCCTGTGAATAAAAATAGGTCCTATATTTTTTACATTACCAGTATATATTAATTTATTGACTATTAAATAATGTAATAGTAATAAACAATAGCAAATGTACATTTAATGTCTAAATCTGAAGAAGCTTTGAGGGTAGCATCATGTGCTCGAGTAGTTAAAGCTATACAACGCTGCAAGGCTTCCCTCTACAATAACATAACCCCACATTCATGTTAATACATTGTTCTACTATAACAATTATTTGGTTAACTGATCAGACAATATCAATTACAAAATAATTTCACTCATTTATTGGTAGGTATTGCTTTTACCTCTTTTATCACATGTGTTGTAAAGTGAACATTAGGGGAAGATAAGACCAAAGTCTGGGCTCAGATATCCACTCAGTTTGACACCTTTTTTAAATAATCAGAAACGAGCATTTCCTTGATGGAAGTTAGTCAACATTGACTCAACCGTACATCCTGAGTCACACTTGTGAAGGTGTGACTTACAACACGTTCACTTATATGTTTTACCACTTGTAGATGTTTCATAGCATTATGTGTGTCTATCATCCTTCTTTCCTTGCAGAAACAGGACTCCACAGAGTCGTACAAATGAGTAATATTGAATCAGATTCAGCTCTATTTGTCAAGTGCAAGTGTGCACAGATCATTTGATTTTGGTTTTTAAGTTGCTCTCAATGTATTTCCACACAGTTCAAAGAGCAATCAACATAAGAAATGGGCAAAATGACAACAAAGCTTCCCAGCAGTAGTAAAACTAAACCATTGAGTGTTACATACAGGCTGCACTTTTTTGTTTTGCTATGAAAATAACTCACATGCAGCCCGAGTACACAATGTGCCGTTAGCATGCTTTTAAAAGTAGAATTAGTGCCATACAAACAAAAATATTAAGTAAAGACAAGTACAAATCCTATAATAAATACAAATGTTACTTAAGTAAAGTACAGAAGTATTAGCATCAGAATACATTGATAGTAGCAAAAGTACTAATTCCGCAGATTGGCCCATTTCAAAATAATATAATATTACATGTTTTTATTATGAGTGTTATCAAAGCTGGTAAAGGTGCAGCTCATTTTAATTACTTTGTATGCTGCAGGGAAGGTTTTGGATTTATTCCAGGTGTAACTAAAGTCTTATTTAAGTGTTGATTATATTTCACATTATTAATCAAAATCTGTAAAGTAACTAAAGCTATACAATAGATGTAATGGAGTAAAAGGCCACCATTTACCTCTGAATTGTAGTGGGGTAGAAGTACAAAGCAGCAAAACATTGAAATACTCAAGTGTACACATTGTTTTTAAGTACAGTACTTGAGTAAATCTACTTAGTTACTTATTTGACATTTTGCAAAGACTGACATATAGTCAAAGCAACATTTGATAATAAAGCATGTACTGTTTTTAAACCTCCCCCCTCTGGTTGAGAACCATGCTGGCAGCTTGCTTCCTGGTTAAAAATAGTTTGCACAAACAAACCTCAGCTCATTAGTGAGATGCAATCGGTTAACCCAAATCCAAGACTGTGCAACGTGTAATGCCACATTTAAGTCGTTTCCATGCCTGTTGACCGGCTGTCAGTAGTTAAATAAGGATAAAAACGGCCTCCTGCATCTTACAGCTAACAGGCCACTGGATCGGACCTAGCTTGCGTGTTAGCCACCATGCTAGCTCCGCACAACAACACACACACACACACACGGCAGATAAGAGGCGCATTGCAGGATATTCCGTTACGTGTCGACTCACCTGATGATACCAAAGCTCCTTACAGTATATACAGCGGTCCAATGTGGATGACAGGTTTAAAATCATCTAATAAAAATAGGTTATTATGGTCAGTTTGGTCCAACGGTCGGCCACGCGCTGACGGTTCGGACAATAAAGGCAGCCTCCGGTCGTTTACCCGCGTTTCTCTCTTTGAATGTGAACCCGATTTAAAACTTCTTCACGGCCTTTGTTAAAAACGGGAGCAGGAACCCGACAATGCTGGCAGACTGACAGGGTGAAGACAGTGCGGCGACCCCGGCGGGAGAAATATGTGGTTTGTTTATGAAAACATTCAGAGGAGGAAGTCTGGAGAGTGCAAAACAAATCCCTCTCAACCAATGGGAGGCCGCGTGTGACGTCTAGAATATGGGTCAACCAATCAGATTGCACTTCACATGAGCCCTTTATGGCTATCAGCTTGATTGTTGATACAGTCTCATAATGCTGTTACAGTGTTATCATTTCCTGCTCTGGATTTGGGTTACAAGTCATTAGCATTACTAGCATTAGCTTGCAAACGTATCAAATGTACACAATGTAAGGAACAAGTATTTGCAGTTTATGTGAGACTTAACATCTTGCACAGGAAGGATGGGGAAGTCATTGGGTTGTCGGGGGTTTATTGATGTATTTGCACTACTATATTGAGGCTGTGTTTGCTTTCCTCTTAAATGTATATAGCCTATGCAGCAGTTGAATAAAAACAATAGCATTTTTGTTGTTGTTGCAGAAATGACTTGCATGATCACACTTGCAGATACATATTTATCTGTATTTTTTCCCACATTTTTTCCAATGTATTTAGTTGTGAAAACAAAAACGTTCTATTTTCAGCCCTGGCTGTGTGACAACATGAGTCTTACTTCTCTCTTGGGTCATTCTTTGCATGCTGATCCACTTATATTCCTATAACTCACACTGCAGAGCCAAGCAGGTCAGAAAAATACAGCCTTTGTTTCACCAACAGCCTGGTTGATTGTGATCACAGTGGTGTGGCCGGACTTTGACCGTAGCCTGGGAAAACAAGGACACAGGTGAAGCTAACTGCACATAAAACCCTCTGTTTATATGTGCCTGTAAAAGTGACTGTATTTAACACAGATGCACAACAGAGCGTAAATACAACATTAAAAACACTGTACGCAAATATAGTGCTGTATCAAAAATGTTACCTTTATTTTGCTTTAATTTTCAACCCTTTGTGTAATTTTGATTGTAACAGCACAGACAAAGAATACAAACGCATAACTTTTACTCAAACAAATTAAATAATGTCAGGGAAGGAGACACAGTCCAGGACTGGGAGGTCAAGCTGCGACCTGCAACATCTTAAAACACTGTTGCACAAACAGACAGCTGAAACAAAATAAGACTATTGTAAACATGAACGCCACCAAAATCTCACTTATTTTAAACCCAAGACCCAACTTTCGATAGTCCATTCAGATGAAACTGTTGTGTAATAAATTACAAATCTTGTGTTATATGCTGCCTTTCTCCATTATGTAATGTTATCTAAATTATTATAATCCTTATTATAACCTTCATGTTTTTAGTTCTTCTGTGCTTTTTGTTAGATGAGTTTATAGTGGGACTAAGTTGCAATGTTCTTCCGTGTATGAAAACTTGTTGAAAATTATATAATAAACATGGCATCAACAAGGATAAACCCACCCCTCCTCCAGTATTTCTTAGCAAACAAACTCCAATACATACTTCCTCCCAGAGGGTCTGGAGGCAGCCCAGTGTGAGAAACTGCATCAGAGTGACCTTAAATGGACCAGCTAAAGGAAATGGTGTCCATTAGATTACAAGTTCCCCTTATTGTGATGATGAGGATGATGATTATTATTATTATACATTTTTTCCAGTTTGTGTTCTTTCTTTTATTTATGTCATTTACTTTCTGCAGGCCCGGTTCACTTTTACAAGAAATAAAAATACTCTATCCCTGTTATATTTGTTGCTGAGAAGGAAAATGTCCTGACTGTTTCTTTCAACTCTGGGCTGTCTGACAGGCTGGACGTAATTCTGTCAACACAGTGATCGAGAGATAAAAGAATCGAATCCCTGTTTTGTTCCCCGTGTTTAATCATTTACACAACTTCACGACTAATCTCCTCACTTAACAAGAAAAACGTCTCACACTTCTTCTTTACTTCCTTTTCACAGTGTCATTTATTTACATAATCCTCATTTATAAGGAAACTGCCATTGTCGTGGTTATTCATTGTTGTTATGTGGTGGTGTGTTTGGGGTCAATCCTCCATTCTGTTTCTGGAGAGGTAGCTAGAAAGAAGAGCCGGGTAGTCACTCATCACCCCGGTGGCCCCGACGTCAAACGCTGCCTTCATGTCTTCATCTTCATTGCACACAAACAAATGCACCTGCAATCACAGATAGGCAACCTTAGTGATCTGTCTGGAGTCCAGGAGAACAAGCAGCTTGAAAAACAAAGTTAAAATGGGTTGGTCAACTTCGCAAACATTCAGGGAATAGAGCCAATGTCAACAACACAGCGTTCTATTTCTGACATCCTTTCTGCAGTTTTAAGCTAGCTACTGCGCGTGATCAATAAAGCACAAACACATGTCATATATTTGGAGGGTGGCAATTGTCTCAGATTTGACAGCAAAAACAAAGCTTCAGAGCATAAAGGACTACTTGTTCAGACTGAAGTGTAGACTAATAACTCATATTCCTCAGTGTTATGAATATTCTGTATGTTGTGATTTTAGCATTTGCAGACATGCACAAAAACCTAATACACTACAGGAAAGTAAAAATCCAAAAAGCATAATAGGCCCCCTTTAAAAAATACAATTTAAAATATTTAATATCAGCATAGATACTTTTATTGGGGAGGGAAATGCATTGGTAAAATAATGTCTCTTTACTTCTTATTTCTAATATATATTTATTATTTTCCTGGAGAGAGGAGCTCTGAACTCATCCCTCTGTTTTGATGTGCAGTGTGAGGAGATGAGCTTTTCTTAGTCACTTACTTAGAATTACTCACAAGCGTTCAAAGCTTTATATATACAGTCTATGGTTCAAAGGCATTGAGGCCCTCAGCAGCTGACAAGGCAATGACAAACAACGTCATGCTCAAACTATTCAAGTGTTAACTCAGGACAGAGGCGATGCATCCGAACACACCGTGAGCGTTACTGTTTGTAAGCTGAAGAACGGAAGTGTAATGAGCATTAAACCACTAATAATTAATTCAATAATGAAGTATTAAATATGATGAGGCAGTCGCAAGCAGTCAAAATTAAACTGAATCTGCCCTTTTTTCTTGTTTTTGTATCCAGGAATTAGGATTTTGTTTTGTTTTACTTCAACTGATACATCCACAATTAAATCTTTGTCTGTAAGATTAAGAAAGCTACATTTAGTTTTAAAATTACCCAGTGGAGGTTTTCACAAGTAGTGTCTTGATGAGCCAACACTTGATTAAAAACTGTGCACAAGTCAAATTGTAATTACTCTTATACTAATTGTGTTTCCTATTCATATCTCAACTTTTACATTTTCAAAGGTTCTTGTGCATTCCTGTGATGCACTTCAACAACTTTTAGGTATGTATTATGCCGTTTGATACCTGAATTCCACGGGCTGCGAGGTGTTTGAAAAGACTCTTCCTCATTGTTACTCTGGAACGACAACATAAATACAAATTACGTCAGACATAAAAAGCATTGAACAAAAATCAATTATTTCAGTCTTGTCTTTTAGCCTTGCATAAAAGCATTAACCCATGCATTCAGTGGATTTCATGTTCTCAGTATTGCTTACGTTTCTCTCTTTCATGACCATTTCAGATTGCAGCAAAACAAAGTCAGTCATAAGGAAGGCTGCAGTGTAACTTCACTCACTTTTCTAACAAAGAGACGACCAGCGTGTTCCTCAGCATGGGCTTCTCAGGAATGAACGTCCTTCAGCACCCAGAGACAGAAACAGTCAACATGTCTGTACTGTTAGTAATTCATTACTATGAATGACTTATCATTGATATGAATAAGGGCCACAATTGTAATGTAAATTCCCTAAGCAAAATACACAAAAGAAGAAAGGAAAAGCCTACAGCACAAGTGTATACAGCAGAGATAACAAGACAACTGAACTGCTGAAACAATTTCATGACATTCATCTGCTACTTAGTAATTATTTATCTATTATCTAATATATCATTCCAATAACTTGTATATAGACTCGTATTGCACTATTCCACCTTTTTTCTTTTCTCACTTTTTAAAAAACAATTTTTCTTTTTGTATTACTTTTAATATAGTATATTTTAATATTGTTTTAATATTGTCTGCTTATCTGTATTATTGTGTTGCATTGTTGGAGAAGCCTGTGACCTAAGATTTTCAACAACATAATTACTCTGTAGCTATGTTAGTTTGACAATAAAGAACCTTGAACATATCAATTAAAAAGTTGATCTAAAGGAGAATACATATTTGAAAAACAAAACAAAATGTCTTATTGTATTGAACTCCATTTGTGTTTTAATATTTCTCTGAAATATGTGTTTTCCTTTCCAGAAATGTCCCCCATAAATGAGTGCGGACAATTTCAGGAAATTAGGTTTTTGTTGCCGAATTTTCCTTTGGAAGGACCCCTCAATAAACGTGTGCCCCTCCCAGTGTTGAAATGGCGCCCACGCCCTTGCATGCATGAACACGCACACATACTCAACACGCAGCCACACCTGTTGATGATGCGTGGCAGGTAGAACTGCAGTAAACTCTCTCCCAGAGGCACAAAGGGCAGCAGGCCGCTGTAGAAAAGCAGGAGCATTAGCACACCTCGGTTCATACTGAAGCTGTACGGCATGGAGTCGTTCTGAGAAGATAGAAAAGAGACAGATTACAGTTCAATTTCACCTCTTTATTTCAGGCAATCATAGTATTTTAAGAGGCAAAAAGGAGATGTTGGCTGTGAATTCTGTGTAAAATGCTGCACAGGTCACTTTGTCGCTCCCAGGTGGTAAACGTACCGTTTTGCGGCACTCCTCCATAACCGTGGAGTTCACAGAGGCCCAGAGTGTGAGCTCCTCCCTGTTGTAGCGTTGAACCAACTCTGACACCTGAAAAGACAGCAGAAGGTCACAGGTTAAATGTGATGGTGGTGGAGAAATAATGAGGTGTATATCAGTCGTTAATGTATACAAATACTCAAAGGCAGGATGTCATCACTTCAAAAAAGATTATTTACATGTTGGAGTCTTAAAGGGGGCCCATCATGCTAATTAACAAGTTTATATTAGTTGTAGTGTCTCTACTGTGACATGTTTACATGCTTTAATGTTCAAAAAGCTCTTTATTTTTCTCATACTGCCTGTGCTGCAGCACCTCTTTTCACCCTCTGTCTGAAACCAGAGCCCAGTCTGCTCTGATTGGTTAGCTGGCCGGCTCTGTTGTGATTGGTCAACTGCTTAGAGAGGTCCTGCCCCTTAGCCTATCACGTACATTGGCTAGTGTTGAAGCGCTAGCCAATAGAAGCGTGAGTGTTACTTAGTGATGTCAACACATGTACACAAAGGAGTCCAATGGCGGCGTTTCAGGCAGGGGGAGAGTGTATGAGAGAGAAACTCCCTCTGGAGGGAACTTTGCGATTTAAGCCTTTGCAGACCATTGACATGCACTAAACCAATATAACACACTACAGGAAAGGCAAACATCCACAAAGCATAATAGGACCTCTATAAAATGCATGCAATGAGTTAATTTGGACATTTGACTGTATAGTTGCTGAGCATTATAAATGCATCAACACCGTTTTTATTTTATTTTTGTTCTTTTATGTCATTGGGGAAGTTTTGAAACTGTTTTGTTTTTATCTTTGCTACCTTTTCCATCAGCTGTTTGTTGTTCTCTTTGATCTCAATGCTGACAGGCATCTTGGGGAACTTCCTGAACACATCCTCCAGCAGAGAGAACTTCCTGTCTGCACCACTACTGTAGCGACCTGAAGCAGAGCGATGGAAACTAAGATTACAACATAGAAACACACACACACACACCTAGTTGATTGAATAACTTTTAGTTAGAGAGTAGGAGAATGTGAGGAGGAACTCACCTGCATAAAATGTCACCTCCAGTCTTTCTTTATACAGAGGCAAATCCTATAAGAGTTAAAAAGCATATGAATGGACTTAAAAAAGTTATATCATTGTTATTATGAGTTGAAGATGGAATTAATTTTTTTTGGATATTCTATGTGTAATGGATAAAAGTCAAACATTAACTTCGAAGGGAGTCCAATACTTAAGTGAACATTTACTCTTAGTTTAAGCCTTGAGTAATTGCTTTTTCATGCAGCTATTTTAACTAACTTGAACCATTGAGTAATATTTGTGTTGATTTGTACATGTATTTGTTTCAGATTATGATTCGTCACCAGGACGGAGCTGCCATGGAGGATCTTTACTCCCAGCGGCTCAGGGAGAAAGCCCTCAGGATTACAAAAGACCCCCATCACCCCAGCCACAGTCTGCTGCCTTCTGGCAGGCGGTACCGCAGCATCAGGACTAAAACCACCAGACTCAGGGACAGTCTCATCCCACAGGCCATACGACTATTCATTTCATTTCATTTCAAACCTTTATTTAACGAGATTGGTCCCATTGAGATCATAGATCTCTTTTTCAAGGGAGACCTGCAGCATATAGGTTCCACATGAAACATAAAACAATAAAGGACATTATACATTATATTTACAGGATACATTTACATAGTTATAGACATTTACAAGTGCCCATAGTATCAACAAGCATTTCATTTAGCCTAGCTTTAAAAACATGCAGAGGAATGAGATTGCTCAGTTTAAATTCTTGCTGAAGACTGTTCCAAGCAAGTGGAGCTGCGCACATAAAAGCTGTCTTACCTAAGACAGTCCTTGCTCTTGGCACATCTAACAATACTACATCATGCGATCTCAGACAATAGCTGCTTGCAACTCTCTGTGTTATCAGAGAGCAGATATAATACGGGAGTTTACCCAACAAAGCTTTATAAATAAACGTGTACCAATGACTGAGCCTCTTTACAGTAAGTGATGGCAGACCTGCCTTGGCATACAGGGTACAGTGATGAGTAAGTGCTTTACGATTTGTGACAAATCTCAGGGCGCTGTGATAGGCGGCATCTAACTTGTTCAGGCAATAGGCAGGTGCATTCATATACAACAAATCACCATAGTCCAGCACAGGTAAAAAGGTCACAGTGACTAGCCTTTTCCTGGCTTCAAAAGAGAAACAGGACTTATTTCTGAAAAAGAAACCTAGTCTAACCCTCAGCTTTTTAAGCAGGTTATTGACATGAAGTTTAAAAGTAAGACAATCATCAAGCCAGATACCAAGGTATTTATAACAGGTAACCACTTCAAGTTTTATTCCTTGCATAGTAACAATATCCAAAACAGGCTCTGGTGTCTTTTTAGCTTTAGAAAAGAGCATTACCTTGGTTTTATCAACATTTAAAAGAAGCTTAAGCTCAGCAAGCTGAGTCTGAATAATGTTAAAAACAGCCTGTAATTTAACACCAGCCTCCTTAATGGAGGGACCTGTACAGTACATCACGGTATCATCCGCATAAACATGTAAAGTAGCTTCATTCACATTTTCACCTAAACTGTTGATATATATGGAGAATAAAAGTGGACCTAAAACAGAACCTTGAGGAACACCATTAGCAATGTTTAACCACTCAGAAGACAGCCCATCAAAATGAACACATTGGGACCTTTCAGAGAGGTAGTTCACAAACCACCCCACTGCATGGCTGGATATGCCAATACTGAGTAGCCTCTGCTTTAAGATGCGATGATCGACGGTGTCAAACGCTTTGGAAAGGTCAATAAATAGAGCTGCACAACTCTGCTTATTATCTAAAATACTCGTAATGTCATTCACCACTTTCATTGTCGCAGTGATGGTGCTATGTTGCTTTCTGAAGCCTGACTGATGTTTAGACAGGATATCATTTTTACATAAAAACTCCTTTACCTGTTCACTCACTAAGCGTTCGAGCACCTTCGCCAGAACTGACAATTTAGAGATTGGCCTATAGTTATTTAAAATAGTTGAAACTTGACTATGAAACACCTCAGCTTGCATTATTTTTATTGTTGTTTTTTAAATAAAAATGTGTTTTATGTCTTGTATATATTTATATTTCATTGTTGATAAACCTGTGACCCAAGTTTTTCATTCATTAAACAACTACCAATGTAACCCCTCCGGCACCAACATGGTCGACTACAAGCATAATCCCAACAAACTCGGTCAAACAGGCCTGAGCTTCTCTCTGAACCTGACCTTGTGACCTCTGTCCTCTCACCTGTAGACTGAGTGAGGAGACGGTGACGTCCTGGCCGGTCTGCCTCAGCAGGTTCTCATCATGTGACACCACCACATGTCCGTCACGTGTCAAGTGACAGTCCATCTCAAACATCTGTGTGCCCTGCTCCGCCGCACTGCAAACACAAGGTCATAATTACCTGCACAATCACTTTTTACAATCCTGTTACCTGAGGAGACGCGCACCTTTCTCCTAAAATACTGCAGGAAATAATATGTCTAATTGAAAGGATGTAAGACGATTAATACAGCGAAGACAGGATTGTACACTGTGTTACATATTTACTATTCTTACATAAGGCATACAGCCCTGAAATAAAGCATATTTGATATCTTTAGCAGTAAATGTATGTTCATTTAAAAATATATCACCATTATTTTGGACATAACTTCAGACTTCACCAAATACAAACAAAAAGTTCTGTCTGGAGACATTGATATGTTTTTGACTACAGGAAATACAGTAATATTCCCTAGCATTTCTTTAAAACTGAATTTTTAAACTGTTTTTTTCTCTTTATAATCAAAACACACACATTTAAGCAAGTTTTTTAGTTTTTGGACTCTGCATATGAGCTGCCTGTTACCACTGAGATATCCAGCGGCCATTTATTTGATATTTTTGAAAAACAATGTAATAACTTTTTTTATTTCCCTGAGCCTCCCCTCAAATAGTTTAGAGCCCCCCTAGGGAGACTTACAAAGCCTCTGTTCTAAGACATGTTATGAAGCTGGGTAAACCCTCCGTTTCTGTTAGAAAGAAAAGATGGAGTCAGAGTAAATAGGATGACGCTCAGTTGGTCACAGGTTCTCTAAAAAGTAGATTTTCCTGGAGCAAAATCTCCTCTAGAGTTTGGTACTCACTGTGTGAACGCCCCCATCGTGCTCTCTATCCTCTCTCCACATCCTGGAGACACACAGAGAGGTGAGGGTTGATGATGGCAATCAGTAAAGGTACAGAAAAAAGCACATTTGGACAAACGTTCTAAGAACATTGCATCACTGTGTCTTCTGTGTGGCAGAATGAATGAATAGTAAAAGCTCTGATCTGACAACATACTGCGAGTATTCAGGTGCTTAAAATGAAAGTGATATCATTATTTGTTTAAGCCATAGAAACATTTAGCAAATTAACTAACCCCGATTTTTGTCAATTTGCAATCAGAGTGTTGTGTTTGCTCACTTTATTAATCAGAATCAGAATCCCTTTTAGTCCCACAGAGGGGAAATTTGCATCGTTACAGCAGGAAAGAGCCACAGACAGCTTAATGTTACCTATGTTAAGAAAAAAGTACTAAGTTATTATATAATAGAAAAAAGAAAAGTAAAAGAAAAAATACTTTCCAAAATACAAATCCTGTAACAGTTCTTAGAATTTAGCAGCCAGTTATTAATGGCTTATGTATATAATGTAATGTATACATTATATACATAAGCCATTAATAACTGTGTATTACATCTTCATTTGAGCTTTTGTGCTGCAGGCTAATGACAATATTATCAACAATGACAATTAGATTCTAAACCCTTTGGAGGCAGAGCTTTTGTGTAGATTATTTAACATGCAGTGTGTGAATCAAGTGAATAAAACAAGCCTTTACATGGGGAAACAAAAGTGCTTATAAGAGCAAACAACCCTCTATTTTCTTGTCACTTTGTAAGGACTGCACCTGAGCGACAGTGACCCTCTTACCTCCTCTGTGTGAGATGTGTCTGCAGTAAAAAGGTGTGCGTTTCTTCTTGTGGAGAATCTGGGGGTTCTTCAGCAGGAACACCGAGGTGAGAGTGTATCCACCCAGAGCTGGGAGGAGGAAATACAGAAAATTGCTCATCCTTCTCCTGCAAATACGTCCAGCGAGGTCCTGATCGAGTCCTGCACAATGTAACCGCTGGACAGCAAAGACACTGATCCAAGTGTGTCCTTCAGAAAAAGAGTATGTACAACAATCCCTCTTTGTGATAAGATCCAAAAGCTTGACTGAACAACCTGCTCTCTGAGATAACAGAGCAACTGGACAGACCGGTAAGAAGAAGGAAGGCTTTTTCTCACTGACTCAAACTTCAAAGCAGTAAAAGTCTGTTAATAAAACACCAGCTCCTCACCCAGAGCTCACCTCTCGACTATCTGCCTCTGGCCTCTCCCCTGCCTGTGGCTCTACCATTCCTCTCTGTAAACTGCTTTTGTTCCCGGGTTAGTGTTGGCTTTGTGTGTTTCACACCTGGGCACCTTTGCCAATCATTTTCTTTAATAGCAAGTACTGTGATTATGACCCCAAAGCAACATTTTAGGATAAACAAGCAGTGGTTGTTATCTGTTGTGCAATCCAGATTACAGTTGAGGCATTATGGGAAATACATTTTTTCATAAACTGGTTAATTTTGAGAGCTTTACAAAAACATCCAAAGCATTAAGACACAGTGCAAAAGAAGCATATTATTAAATGCCATTAAAGCAGTCATTCAATAACCAAGAGAACATAAGTTAAGACAAGCTAAAATAGGATAAGAAAGGAAACAAAATAAAGTTACAGTGCCGTGTCTGATATGAATAAGAATTCAATTTCATAAAAGAAAGCGGCAACCGGGAAACACTTCAGCCTTGATTTAAGTGAGGAAGCAGTACGCCTTGACAGATAAATGGAACATAATAACTAAATGTTTTTTCCCGAAGTTCAGTTTTATGATGGTTCAGCACAATACAAAAAAAACCATAGTCTATATGTAAGTAATTAACTGCGAAAGTACGCACGGTGTACTTTGCAGCTGATATTAGGCAAACACAAAGGACATCAGTGGGGGTGCAGTAGGTTTGTACTTGTTTGACAAAGGGGATGTGGTGTACAAAGATACATTATGTCAACACACCTCTGACCCACAAGCCAGAAATATGAAAACAATAACTGTGCAGAGTCACACGCGCACACTACAGCACAAAGTCAGCGGAGAGAAGTGATGCATTGTTCAGGTTCAACAGAGAAGTAGGAATGTGACAAACAAAGGTGAGTCCGCTCTGAAATGTTACAACAAGCCTGGATTTCACCAGAAAAGTTAAATCTATTCACGACAAAGCAATAGGACCTCCCAGAAGTTTCTCACTTTGGACACACGTCAAAATCCTGGTCATTTTAACAGTTCAGGTTTCACGCAGTGGTGGAAGTAGGTTTGTTACATAAGATAACGTAGCATTGCGTAACTTTAAACATACTCGGTTACAAGCAAATGTCCTGCATTCAAAACCTTAATATCGGCATCACTTTAAGTACCAAGTGTAATAGTATTTATGTGTAATAGCTAATTTCCGATGAATAGAGCTGCTTTAAAATTGCTTTACATAATGCTACTGGATTTATTTTTAGCCTATAAATATATGTCAACGTTTATTTGATAAGGAATTCATACTTTGTATTAGATAATAATCTAAATCTAAAAAGTAACTCAAGCTGTCCAATAATTGCAGTGGAGTAAAAAGCACAATATTGGTGTAGTAGAGTAAAAGTATAAAGTATAGCATAAACAGAGAATACTCAATTGAAGCACAAGTACCTATGTGTCCATAAGGGAGTAAATGTACTTTGTTACTATCCACTTCACATTTGCATACGTCCCTGTAACATCAGGGTCTGAGGGGAGGCCGTGCTCAGACATGTTATGGAGGCAGCTGTTTGAGCCACACAGCTGGAAAATCAAGTTGATGGATGACACACAGTTATGTTCAATCTCACAATTCTCAGGCTTCTTCTTGGCTTCTGAGAGCTGGTTTCACACCGATATTAGATACAGATCAGTGGTGTTGTTAGGCAATTCCTCCTTTAGATAAAGGAAGAGAGTCTCGTCGTGAGAGCCCGTTTTCCATGGTAACAATGAGCGACACTTACTGAACAGTGTTTCCGTGGAAACAATCGGTGACACCTCCTGGAAAGCGTTTCCACAGCAACAAGCTGTGGCACAGGTGCAGAGTGGAGGAACATCGTCCAGTGTTTTTCATTTACAAAGCCAAGCTAAACTGATGAGTTAATGTGAGTCCTGCCACATTAAGAAGCTAGATGTGTGCCTTCAGCTGACATCTTATTTTACTGGATGTTTTCTCTGTTTTGACCGTGTTTGCTGATGTTTTGTACATGTAAAATGTCTAACAGTTGATTCTTTTTTTATAATAGGCCCTCTTTATCATTAGTGATGTCAGTTAGGTCAAAGCTATGGAATATATATTTGTTGTTGTTGTTGTGCTTCCCTACTTGTTGTTTCTATTTGCTGCAGAATTGTGTTATTTGACACATTACGTGGTCCTTTTGATGACATCGTAGAGGCTTTTCGCACCTATATATATATATGAGTGTCTGACGATTAGATCTAGCTATAGTCAAAGCGACCCCTGGAGTTAAATTAAGGTAAAATAATAAGAGACCACAGGACAAGAAAAAGAAAAGAATTCAAACAGTCGTAACAGTATCAGGACATTTTATTTAATTATATGTATATAATTCAGTTTTTGTTAATCGTTTAACTTTAATTCATAATACCCATAGAATATACAGACTATAACCCTCGATAACTCATATCTCTTCGACAATCTACGTATATCTTCTTTTAAAATAATTCCTTATAAGATCTTGGAGGGGAAATCAAAGAAAACAAAGGTTTCAGAAAGATTGAAAACACTGCCAATAATAATCACGCCCATAAGAGAATTAAAGAAAAAGAAAATACAAAGAAAAACATTCTAATTATTAAAAAAACAAAAACAACTTTAACTCCCTTTTATGTATAAAAATAAAAGAAAGAAAATACAACAACTCACCAATATAACAATAGCAATAATAAGAACAGCCATTTAAAAACAACAATATCTGGAAACAGGCCTCGTGACGGACAGGCCTTCAGACTCGCCGATGCTGCGTGAATGTATATGGTGCGTTTAAGTGCAACTTTTCACAAACACACAGATGCACTCCTCAGAAAGAGAGAGGAAGTGTGTGTGAGTGTGTGTCCGGAGGATTGGAAAAACGTGATCCTCTTTGTTTTCCTTCCCATGGTTACCCAGTGAGATGTTTGGTCTGGTGGCAGGTCAGTTGGAGATTAAAAAAAGAAAAGAAAAAAGAAGCAAAGCAGGGCCTGGTTGACTGGTGACCAAATATACATATGACAAGCATAGCAAATCTCAGATGTAAAAAGCGCAGGCAACTGCATGGAGAGGCTCCAAAACACACACACAGGATAGAAAGAGTCTTGGCTTTATGTTACTCATGAGCAGATACACAAACACCTGTACACAGACATAAATTACTGCAGACGTTCCATGAGCTTTAACACACACAAACACACACGCACACACAGCAGGTGAAACTTAAAGCTGAACAAGGAGACAAAAAACATCCGGAGAGGACAAAGCGAGCGTGGCTGGAAAGACAAAGTGCAGGCGTGCTGATTGAGTTATGCGAGTTTCCTGCATGATCCAGGGGCGATGACTTGGTGGCAGCAAAGTCAGTGATAAACCACCAAGTGCCACTGTGGAGAAGCAGACAGACAAGGGAGGAGGGGAGGCAGCCCTTTGAGTAAAGCGTGGCGAGTCAGAAGGTTGAACAGAAAAAAAAGGATACAAATCACCACATGCACCCGGAAGCCTCACACCGATCCCAAAGTGCTGGCTATGGCTTCTGAGAAAAAAACAGCCCAAGAAGGAAAAATCAATGATTTTAGCTGCAAAGAGCGAGGCCGGCGAGCATCACAGACCTGCCCCGAGAAAGAAAGAATAAAAGAGGATCCAGTGCATGTGTTGGTCCATTTTTTTTAGGGGAGGAAAGGAGGGGGGGAGGGGGCTTCTCTACTGGTCCCAGTGCAACAGGCAGAAAATTAGTGCAGACCGAGCTGGTGACGGCTCCACCAAGCAGCCATTATGTACAGTCACATCCAGAACAAAGAGAGGAGGGAGCAGCCGCTGACAGGAACCATAAACACAGACAGAATACACAAGCAAAGAAGCCATCTGAGAAACAACGCAGCGTTAAATCACCCACATTGAAGAAGAACAGGAAGCAGGAAAACACACACGCGAAAAGGGGAGCGAGCGTAAAACAAAATGGGCAGAGAGGGTTTTTTATACCGTACAACCACGAAGGGATGATGGCTGTAGACGCTCTGACAATCCTGGGTTTGATTATTGTTAGTGATGTCAGGTCGCATTGGAACCGTGGGAAACATGGGAATCTTTACCATACATCCTTAATGGCTTCAACGCGGCATTTGTCAGCAACATGTACAGTTTTTTTTAGGAGTCTCGTTCTTGTAAAAGTTCTCATCCGATGAGCACTAACTGCAGCGACAGACTCCAGAAACTCAGGCCATTTACATTCAACTCACATCAATGAGCCATAATCTGAAAATGCTTGTTGGAAAGTGCACTTCTCTCGACCGTTTACATGGGTTTGTTTATACTCGGGCCTTCGCTGTCAGTTAGACTGTGACGGGACGGACTCCATACAGCACAGTGGGATGGAAAGGCTGATGTCTGTCAACCAGGCCCCATTTTCCAGAGTACTGTACAGGAGATCAGACGGCTTCACTGATGTTATAATAAGTAGTTAACCATTCATTTGCTATTCATTTTTAACTAAAATGAATAGCAATATGTAATACTGATCAGATATTTGATGGTTATTGTATTTAATGAAGGGAAAATGTACTATAACAGTGTCTGACATCAGTGTTCTGGCAGTATTTCTGCCATTTTGGAAGGAACGTCTTCCACTATAAAACTTACAGTCACTTAAGTCAGGTAGTTCATGATCATTAGGGGAACAAAAGGGTTTGGTAAGAGTACCATGACTTTCTGGAAAATGGGGCGTAGGTACTACTGTTATCTGAATGAATAAGCGATTATACTTTATACTGTTTGATTTCTATTTGTTCCAATCATGTGGCGTCTCCTGAATGGAGAGTCGAGTAATATGTCAGAAAATGTGTTGATTCAAAACTACGATGGGTAACCCTTAGTTGCTCCCCGGCCAAGTTTCCTGCATATCTCTGCCACTTTGGTTGATTTAAGGAATGCATGCATTCATATGAACATCATACAGTTGTTGTTTTTTTTTTAAGAAAAGAAAAGCGACGACAAATAAATCTATATAAACCTGTCAACATGCCAGAAATAACATTGAATGTTTGTCTCAAAAATCAAGTGTTAAAGAAAAAAAAGACTTGCAAATATAAACCCCAAAACATACAGATACGACTGATCCGAAAACACTCAAAAACAACGATGTACACACAAAAACTGCCACAAGCACACTTAAAAAAAGAAAAGAAAATAAGCTTTTTATATTTTTGTATATATACACAAACACCCGATTAGCATCCCCGTTCCTTTAGCCCTCGATTTTTTCCAGCTTGTAATTTACATGGAGCAAGACAAGAGAGTTATGGAGTCGGTTAATACAGTAGTTTATATGAGGGAGCGACAGATCAGCATCAGGGAGCAAGAGAGAGAGGGGGGGGGGGTTACTGATGATGGGAGGGGATGAGGAGGGACGTTTAACGGGAAAATAAATGTGAGGTGAGAGGAGGAAGAGTCCAACATGGACAAAACTGAAACAGTATGAGTACACAGACCCTACCACCCCCAACCACAGAAATCAAAAGTTAAACTTAGCTCTCTTGCAGTAGAAATGGAAAGATAAGCAGTTAAATGTTCATTTCTCGTTTTCTCTTTTTTTTTTGTTGGTTTCTTGAAGATGCATTTTTTCTTTTTGTTTTAGCATGTCGTTTGGAGTCTTCTTGTTCCAAGCCTCTGCGTGGCTTTGTCACTCTTTAGGGCTACGGAAAAGAGATAGAAAGAAGTGCACTTAGGCCCGATCACCGTTTCTAAACCTGCAGAAATCTACAGACAAATGTGTTTGTGTCCAAGTGTCATGAGGGCTAGTTAGTGTCCTAAATTCACCTTTGCTTTAAAGGTCCTCTATTATACTCTTGTTCAACAGTATACTATAGGGCTAAGATATACACAAAACATGTCTCTGAAGTGTTTGGCTGTGTTTCAAAAGTGCTGATTCTCTGTCTGTAGCTTTAATCAAATCAAATTACACTTCCTTACATACATTTAAGTTAAAATAACAGAGACCAGAGTTCCCGTTAGCCGGTAATTACCGGACTATGACCGGTAAAATATGCTGAAGACCGGCAAATCTAAATCTCTCCGGTCAAAATAATTTCCCCTTAGAAAAATACCGCATCAGTTGCGCCACTTATGTGACAGACAAGAAAAGTCAATTCTAATGTCTAACACGTAATGTGGAGAAAGAGATGTCCTGGATGGGTTGATTGTGCGTTGATCTGTTGGTAATGCCTCGGGGTTCCGGTGGGCATGTAAACAAATGCATAATGCTGCGCTATACTTTGTGGCCTCACCCAGTTGCATAGCGACACTTATTGTTTAGGTGTCTTTTAATAAGCAGGTAGTCCTATCATTAGCTAGAACTAGCTAGATCTGATCGATATGGACATAAAGGCGAGTAAAGTCTAATCTGACGGGAGAGAGAGATCAGCTGCTGCTGACGAGTCGACACGCAGCTCTGCATGATCACCTGCAGCGGTGAGCGGACAAAATACACACTTCAGGTTAGAATATCACACGTAGCTATTTTAATGACCTCTCAAACTACCTAAACTAGTTATAGATATGTTTGGTTTTACTGTCGGGTCACTCATTACTGATCTGCGAGCTGCATTATACTGACGGGCTGTCAGGAGAGGGGGAGAGCGCTCCCTTTACTATTCCTGTGTTATTGTAAATTACTGTACACTTTTGAATAATGTAGTTCATCTACTATAATTAGTTTGTTTAATATCGAATCATATCAATTAGTTTTAAAGCTCAATAAATAACAAAGAATACCTTTGACCGGCACTTTTCTAATTTCGTCCGGAAGATTTAAACTTTAACGGACATGTTGACCGGCAAAAAAATATTCTAACGGGAACTCTGTGAGAGACATGTTGAGAACAGTGGAGGTTTGGGTGTGTGAAGGAATTGATGAATGGCATTCGCTCCACTGACACCTAGTGGTCCCAAATCACAATAAAGTTTTGTCACAGCTTTAAAGAAAACGGAATCAGACATGGAAAATCAAGAAAATGGCCAAACGGACATCATTTAGCCTCTGGATATTCCAATAAAAGTTTTCACTTTGCGACCTATTGCAGAAAGTTGTGTTGCTGTGAGGTCAGCGGGCGTTTTCACGTACCCATGTGTCTCATGTTCCCTGGTAGGTTGCCTGGAATTGAGCGGTTTCCTCGTAGATCAGTTCCTTCAGCTTCTCCTTGGGCAGATCATCCAGCTCCATGGAGAAGGTGAAGGGCTCCTCCGCCACCGGCTACACACACACACACACACACACACACACACACACACACACACACACACACACACACACACACACACACACACACACACACACACACACACACACACACACACACACACACACACACACACACACACACACACACACACACACACACACACACACACACACACACACACACACACACACACACACACACACACACACACACACACACACACACACACACACACACACACACACACACACACACACACACACACACACACACACACACACACACACACACACACACACACACACACACACACACACACACACACACACACACACACACAGTTAAAACCTTACCTCAAGAGGGAGAGCCATTTCTTCACAATCAAGAGTTCAAAATAAAGTCTTGTTGGGTCAATTTAGGAATTGAGCAACATGCCGACACTGTTTGAGCCTTACAAAGAACCATTTCTATTTAAAATCTTCAACCATCTTGGCTGTGTTTATACAGCATTGATTTTGGAAAGGGTGTGATTTTTTTTCTCTTTGAGGTTTAACTTCAGTTCCTACAAAAATAAAAACAGTATAGAGAAATACAGACTTTCAGAAATGTCTAAAATGTTTCTATTTAAACCTTTTATTTTTTTATTCCACCGTCATATCTGCATAAAATCATGCATTTTATTATATCAGGCATTCAATTCAGAGTCCTAGCGTCAACATTTATTTTTACTTTATTCCACCATACTGGACCATTTTCTCATGTTTGCTCTTTGTGGCTAAAAGCTGCTATTTTCCAGGTTTATTGCTCTATTTTGTGTAAATTAATATATCGTTTTATGGCCACTTTTATCTACACATTCTGTCTGCTAAGGACATCAGAGCAACTCCTAAAAGTGAAGTCAAGCTTTATGACTAAGGCTGCAAGTGGGGAAAGTAGAGAGGCTTTGGGTAGCCCACACTGTGGAGTAAAATAAAAACATTAAACACTTTAGTAAGACCAATTCAATGGAAGCTGTCACTGAAAAGCAGCCAAGCTGAAAAAACCAGTGAAGATCTGATTTCTACAGTAGGGTTCTAGGAACCGGCCGTGCTGACGGATGCGATTACATTCTTTAACCTCTCTGCGGCTGAACCATGGAGCGAACTTGATACTAATTGCATTCCCAACACCGCTAAGAGGCTTCCCAGCACAAAGCACAAAAAGGCTCACAAAACAAATCTTGGCTGATTGTCGAAAACAATGACTAACGGGTTTGAATGAATGAGCCCGTCTGCCTCCAAGATCTGTGCAAAACCTCCTTTCTCTGTAGACAGTTTCTCTATTGATCGAATAAAAGGCCTTGTCCTTTCAGATTCTACCGGCATGGTGTGTCAAGTGATTCTGCTGCGTACCTCATCTGTGGGGTCGTAGTACTGCTCCAAGTAGGGATGAGCCAGAGCCTCCTCCACGCTGATGCGCTTCACGGGGTTAAAGGTCAGCATGCGGCCCAGCAGGTCCAGAGCTGCGTTAACATTCATCAAGAGCTTCAGTTAGTAAATGAGGTTTCTTTATTTTCCTACAGTGCTATTCATTTCGTTTCTGGACTGACACTTAAACATCTTAAAGCTATGAAAGAGAAAAAAACCATTACAAATATTTTCTTAATGATTTACTTATTTTTCATTCACTGTAAAGCTGGATATTTCATAGAAAATACACATTTGAATATAGAAGTTAAGTAGGTGTGCTGTCTCACAGAGGCAAATACCCATAATAGGTTGTATTAACTTTAATATATAATAATGTTAGAAGGATTTCGCGCTGCAGTATATATAAATTACCCCTTACCTCATCCTTTTCTTGGAAGGTGTACATTTTAGGGCTGCTCGATTATGGCAAAAATCATAATCTCAATTATTTGGGTCAACAGTATGTTTTTAACAGTTGATTACCCTGAACTTTAAGTATAATTCAACTGAAAAACCAATAAAAAAATAATAATAATCGTTTTATTTCGATTACGTTGTTTTCGTAATCGTTGCAAGACAAAATCGTAATTGCGATTAAAATGCGATGAATTGAGCAGCCCTAATATAAATTACCCCTTTCCTCATCCTTTTCTTGGAAGGTGTACATTTTACAATCACATGAAGAGGCATGTAATAGATCAAATAACAGACACCACTCACATTAAAAGCCTGTTATATATATTATTATATATGGGATGTAGAATGGGACTTTTCTTTTGTGCCACATAAAGGAGACAAAAACACCTTGTACAGAAAGCCTATTGAATGCCCACTAATAGAACAAGTCTATTTGCCCCACTGATCCCTCCAAACAGTTAATCTCTAGGGTTTTATTTCATTTGATTAAATGAGTCTTTTTTTCTTGCCCTACATTCTGGGTTAACAAATGGTGGTGCGTTACCTTTGGAGTCGGCCTTGTAGAGAGTCTCCCAGGGGATTCTGGGTTTTGGAGGCAGGGACTGCAGGTAGTTCCTGGCCTTCATGTTGATGATGCAGTTCAGATCATCTTGAGTGGGGGATCCAAGGACGCCTGCAGAGTGGGGGGTGGGGGGAGACGTATTTGAATATGGCAACACAACCCCATTTATGTTCTTACACTTGAAGCTTCTACTGGGATTTCTGAATGAAGCTTTGAATCTATGTTTTATTACATCATCACCAGCTTTATTTTATATTCCTTAAACAAAATCCTCAATTTAAATGAAGGGATTAATCTGAACAAATTAGTTTTTTATTTTTATTTATTTGTATGAATATAACTCGTCAGTGCATATCTGGAAAGCAAGATAGCAAGCCATTGTTTGAACACAGCGAAAATGTTGGTTTCCGAAGGCTGAACCCCAACACATATTCAAAAATATTTAGTTAGATGAAAAACATTTCAATTTTTTAAGTGATTTTATGGCAATGTTTGGATCATACGAGTCGGAAACAAACACGCAGACATAACTAAATATAATTCTACAAATAATATAATGTTATTAGTTAATTAGTACGAGGAATACAAAGTATAATACCAATAATATTAGATCTTTATTTGCAACTTTGCAAAAATACTGGCTTAAAACAGAATAAATACTTGCGTCGTTTTAGGATTTCGATGTCAACATTATGATAGAAGCCTGAAACTATTTGGTACAGCCAGTCTTTAGTAGCAATGACACACACTCACCCAGTATATGGTTGAGCTGGTCCAGGTAGTGTTTCCCGGGGAAGATGGGCCTGTTGGACAACATCTCAGCCAGGATGCAGCCCACTGACCAGATGTCAATGGACTTGGAGTAGCCCTGAGACACAAACACACAAACGGTGAGAACAACTCACCAAACGAGCAACCCAGTCCAACACAGATTCAGTAACTCTCACACAAACCTACCTTTGAATTGAGCATGATTTCTGGAGCCCTGTACCAACGCGTGGCCACGTACTCGGTCAGGAAACCCGTGTGGTCGTGCTCCGGGTCGGCTATCCTCGCCAGGCCAAAGTCACAGATCTGAGGATATCAAGAAGGGTCAGAGGTCAACAACTTCATGTATCCAAGATGTGACCAACATTCAAGACTAGCAGAAACATGAAAAAGGCTGTACATGTTTTTATTTCTAATAAATTGTCCCCAAATAAAATTGCAGGAAATGTGAGGGCAGGCACCATAACAGTACAGAAATGCTGTACACAATGCACAGTGGAGTAATATACATTTTGTAATTCTCCTATATATTTACCTTTCTATAGCTGTATTAATAAAAAAGTATATATTTTTTATTAGGTTTTTTTGGGAGAGGACTGTATGCATGTGCTGCGTCTATTCTGCACTTCGTTTACATGATCAACTGATCCAGGGATTTGTGGTTAGTTGCCGATAGTTACACGCGTACCCTGAAGCTATACAACGGCCTGACATATCAGTGTGCTGATAGCATCTTGTTTTAGGCTTCAAAAACACAACCACTGCAGAAACAACATTAGGAAACACTTAATATGACGTTTTTGCAGGATGTTATCAGTGCTTAGGGCTTTTAGTAACTTGTATGTACGATACATTTTGATTAGCATTTTACTTAATTTCCCAGAATGCACTTTAGTGTACTTTGAAGTTGTGCAATAGCAGGTTGCCAGCGCCATGTGTCCTACTCATTAAACAGGCTGCAGCTGTATTAAGTTAAATGAAATCTGGCATAAATGGCATGAATTTAGATTGTTTTAGATACTCATTAATACCCGTCAGAAGTATTTTACATGTGGCTACTTAACTGCAAAAATAAGAAACACAAACACTTAAGCTCAAAGGGGAATCAGAAGAGCATACTGTGTGCCCTCAGGGGAATATTTTTACAGCGTTGCAATCCAAGTGCAGTCATTTAATATTTAGTAGGTGAAGGGCCATGGCAAGCAAGGAAGGGCTCGGGTCAATCCAGCACCCACATCCAACATTCCTGAGATTCCCTTTCAATCTTGTTGAGCCCTGCAACTTGCGACTGGTACTAATGTTTACATAAACACAATGAAGCTTGTGTAAATCATTTCAGCCGACTGAAAACAAGACAAATGCACCGTCTGAGAGTGTGAAAATATCCTCTTTAGAGCTTTTGTCTCAGAATATGAAGTATAATGTAGCAGTTACCACATGCTAACTTTAGAAGAGGGATTTTTAACACCTATACTAAATATACAACATGCAAATGGAGAATTTCCACTTAAATACATATAATGTGTAGGGCTGCACCATATGAGGACTACGGTTCTACTGAAATAATGCTAGTTGATTTAAACATTTTGTTAACTGGAGTTATGATCAAATGCAACAATAAAAACTTATTCAAACAATCCATGAGTGCAATTTCTCAGTCTTTGGTTGTGTGTTTATCACATGGGAACTCTTTTATAGTCATTCTGAAGAGGCCATTGGAGGAAGTTCTTATCTCTTAGCTTTGAGTTTTATCACTTGTGTACATAAACAAAACAAAAAAGACATGTGTGCGTATGCGTACCTTGAGGTCGCAGGTGGTGTTGATGAGCAGGTTGGAGGGCTTGAGGTCACGGTGCAGCACGTTGGCAGAGTGGATGTACTTGAGGCCTCGCAGGATCTGGTAGAGGAAATAGCAGACGTGGTCGTTGCTCAGCCTCTGAGTCTTCAGCAGCTTGTACAGGTCCGTCTCCATCAGAGTCTGAACGATGTAGCTGGGAGGCGCCGTCAAGGAGCACATCAACAACCCACAGAGTTAAAGGACACCGCGAGAGACATAAAGACTGCTCTGAGAGGGATTTAAGGGCCCTTAATTATTTAGCAACATGTATAAAATCAAACCAAGATTTGCTGACACATACTTATGTTTCCCTGTTAAAACAAACAGTAGGTTGGACTTTCAGCTTATGTAATGTTTTCTAGACATATATCTTACATGTAGTCAGGGTTGGCCTAATAGGGCAATTTTTGTGGTGCAATTTATTTATTTTCTTATCCAGATATTTACTCTGGCATCACTATCAATCCAAATATAACCATTCCTTGGTTTATGGCCAAATCCTAAGAAAACAGACATCAGTAAGTAGCCTTTTTATATTTTTAACCGTAGAACATGTTGCATCAACTGTGGCTCCAACAATTCTCATTGTACGCACTGCAATTTAAATATTATTATCACTAACACCAATTCCCTTTAAACAATTGTATTATCATTTTATATTGAAAAATGTAGCTTGTCCAGCCAGTTTGGTCTTTCTCCAGTTAAAGGTTCCACTAAACTTCTATTTTGGAGCTCTACCCTAAACTGGAGCAATGGCAATCAGATAAATCACTTTTTGTTTGGCAATGGAGCAGGCACATTTTGTTTCTAATTCTCCTGCCCACTTAAAATATACAAAGCAAAACTGTTGCAATATAATTACTCTTCAAATGGTCACTGTACACTCTCGTTTTACAGGTTCTTGAATGCATCATGACTAGATATTACATTTAATAAAAAGTTATAGTACACTTCTGCATGAAGGACTAAAACTGATAATACAAATTGGTTGAGTTGGGTATATTTACATTATCAAAAATATTGCCAACAATTTTACGACCCTTTAAGCATGCGTCAGCCTTGTCGTTTGACATTGACTTTTTGTCAAATTTTGATATACTTCTAAACTATATAACTACAAAAGATGAAGCATTTAAGTCATTGATTTGTGGATCTTAAGTAATCAGAGAACGAGCTTGTTCCTGTGTTCACCGAGAAAACAATTCACAATTGTAAAAATGGTTTGTTTTGGAGAGGAGGAAACCAATATAGATCATTCAGTTCTCGGTAAAAAAAAACACTAATAATCCTAACCTGGAAAAGCCGGCTGCAACAGTGGTGAAGGAGACAACTCCCATGATCCCACGCTATTTCACGATGCCACAATACTCAATGTTATTTTCACTTAATTGAGGGACCCCTTGTGTCAACTGTCAAAGGCTAATGATGGAACACCATTTTATTTATTTATTTTAAACTAGTTCAACCCTATATAGAAGTTTGATTTGATTTAAGCTTGGACAATAAGTGACAAATGCATGAGCAGAGCCTTTTTCCTGGAAAGCATGAAAGGATACACATCCCTCATGTTGTCGAGTACCCGTGCCCTGAGAATGTCGTTGATGCCGATGATATTCTCATGGTGGAAACGCAGCAGGATCTTGATTTCCCTCAGTGTGCGCTGGCAGTACGTCTGGTGCTCAAACGGGCTGATTTTCTTGATGGCTACGCGCGAGCTTGTCACGCTGTCCATAGCAGAGCTGGATAGGGTGGATGTGGAAAGAGGCACACAACAAGTCTCATGTTACACACTGTACACTCCACAATGACGTTATCAGAAACTGGGCTAATGCCGAGCTCCAAAAGGGCGTTGCAGACGGTCTCCATTGCCAAGATGACACGTCTTTTTGATGTGAAATGAAGTGCTGTAGGTGTATTTCTGAGTGTAGGTGCAGTGTGGTGTAGGTGTAGAGTAGATGGAGGCTGAGAACAGCTGTGAGTGATGCATTTCTGGGACTCTTGAATTCACTTTGTGGGGGAAAAAAACCTCCAAGCTAGGTTTTAAACACTCAGCCTCAACAGGAACAACAGTTACATCACATCTTCTCTATTGGTTAAAGTGTCTTTTCACTGCATAAACTGAGCAAGTTCACACACACTACTAAAGGCTAAAATAATGTTATAAAAATCAAGAGGGAATTTATATACACATGGTTAGATCACATGTGTAACCAAATATATGTACATGTTTATGATAAGCTATAGTAGTTTTTGTTCACTGTACCAACTAGTGGGTGATGATGACAATGTTTACAAATACTGCATCAGTGGAACCACATGCCCAGGATGACGGTAAGAAAATAACACTGGTGAAAATGACAGTGATCTACGCGGGGTGTGTTGTTGGCCTGGCTCTCACTCGACCATCCTCTCTCCACTGACACGCATTGCTGTCACATCTGATCCTGTTCACAGATCAGCCTCGACTGCGGTGATTTGGCACCGATGTCAAGTGCAACAAGGGTTGCTTAACATGTCCACACAAGGCTGTAGATCACATACAACGATAAACACGAGGCCTCGCTACAATTGACAAATCCTACTCGCATCCTCTGCAGCAGATTTACTGCAAGCTTCAGGTTTCAGATTAATGTGGCTGTGCTGGATGGATGAGATGACAATAGCGATAACTATGTCAAACGTGCGGGCAAATGCAGTCTGCAGAACATTTCTCAGCGCAAACCAAACTACGTCCTGCGCAATCACTCCCAATCTTGTTTCCTGTAAAGCTCATAGCCACGCCTGTAGCTAGTCAGCTAACCTGCTAACCACAACATCAGATTCAACAAGTCTGAATGTCGGGCAGCAGCTTCGCACACAAACATCGACGCTGCACAGTGACTGGGTGCCGCTTGTTGAATGTAGACGCTGGGGTTATCTGGCTAACAGTATGTGCTAACAAACAGCTTAGGTTAGCTAGCACTTTTTTATTAAGACTGTACGGTGGCCCAACGGAAAAGACAACTCACCAGACCATCCCGTAAGCCCCCTCCCCGATGTAAGACAGGTTCGTGTAGCGGGGGCCCACATCGAATAGCTGGCCCTTCACGGACTCGGACGGGGCCTTGATTCCCACAACTGGAGCCGCTCCTCCGTCCTGCGCCACCGAGCCAGCCGCCCCGACAGCGCTGTTGGAGCCTGCGGCCGCTGGGGCCGCTACGGTGCTGCCTGAATCCGCCATTCTTCCTCTCCAAACCTATCCGGCTCTGTCACTGTGCTTCACCGAGGCTCTGCTGCTGCTCTGCGCGGTGTTAACGTTTGTCCGGGGCCTTTAAAACGGGAGGATTGTTTGATTGACGGAGCAAAGCGACTCGATCAGGGCCCTCTCTACTACCGGAGTGTAAATGGATTTCGTGCGCGAGCGCGGATTTGGTCTTAGCACCGTGCGTAAAATGCTCGTGCCAAACTACGGTAATACAGGTGCGTTAGATATGGTTGCGAGGTTGACTTGTGTGGGCGGAGTCGCGTCTATTAGCTTGAGGCTCCGCCCGTGTAGCTCCTTTGTGACAGTGAAACAAGCGCAGTCTGCAAAATAAACATGCAGCAGCAGCCACGAGTGGGCGTGCCGAAATATGTTGCATGCTGCCTGTTGTGACAAGAATAAAACACTTTCTGATCGAATGTTTATTGTATCGGTTCTTTTGTGTCAATCCACCTTCATAGACCATCCATTAAGAGTATCTAACAGTCTTTTTTGTTTGCATTTTCAAGGAATTCCCTGCATATCACAGGATACGATTGTTATAGTTGCCTGTACATGAACATATATTTATTTTATAGCCTTTCGTTCAAGACATATTCATTCCAATATATAAGAAAATATGGTGTTATCATTGTAGTTGTCTTCTTAATGGCTAGGTTTGTACATTATCTTTTCCAAATGATTGAGATTCTCCAATCATAAAACAAATATGTAAATGTGTTGCATATTGTTATCTTAGTGCTTAGATTTGTCGAAAATTGGTGACCATTTCGATATGATTATCCTTCAACCTAATACACACATGTTAAACCCATTCACAAAGACATGTATTCGTTTTTTTATTAATTATTTACAAATCAGGTGCACATACATTTCAATCATCTATTTTATTTTTTACCCTTGTTTATTTGTTAGATAATAAATACTTGACACTTATCACCATGGAAACGAGTGCGCCTGCCGTAGCCGCTCCTCTTTGCTGACGTCACCGCGTCGGGTGGTGCACTTCCTGGTTGGTTACTCGGTGCTTCATGCATGTTGTACTCTAGTTGATTTGAGAATATCGATTTATTTTCTCCGAGGAATGATACATTCCCTCCTGCGACGTGACTGGATCGGTCGGATTCGTCTAGCACTCACTCTGTTCGGACTCCCGTACACCGTCTGCACCCCCGGAGCTAGGTACAGTAACGTTAGTTGTAAAGACTCAACTAGAACCTGTGCGAATTTGACAGTTTTAGAATTTTAGAGAGCATTGTAATCAAGAGTATGCTGCAGTACCTATTTCTGTCCTTGCTCAATCCCAGGTCACATGATCGAAGTATGAACTGTGCTTTATATAAACGTTGCTAACAAACAAGATGTATTTCCATTTCATATTTATTTTAAGTAAATGTTATGTCAAAAAATAAGGAACTAAATGTACAGTAAATCATCAATGCTTAGGAAAAATGTGTTATTCAAACTATAAAAGTAGCTCTCAGTCTAAAATTCATTATAATCTCAATTTAACTTTTACCTGGCTGAAAAGAAGATCTATATAGAATAGAATTGGGAGGGATGAAACCCTCCGTAATGGTCACACATGAAGAGCACACAGCACACACAGTGAAATGTGTTCTCTGCTTTTAACCCATCCTAGTGCCAGGAGTCTAGTACTAGGAGCAGTGGGCAGCTATTGTACAGCGCCCGGGGAGCAATGGGAGTGAGGAAGGGCGGTGTCCGGTGCCTTGCTCAAGGGCACCACGGCAGGGCAGGAGGTGAACTGGGACCTCTCCAAGTAGAAGTCCACACTCCATATTTTAAGTCTGGTCGGGGACTTGAACCGGCGACCCTACGGCTCACAGTCCAAGCCCCTACTGACTGAGCCACTGCCGGATATCACCCTGTTGCCATGATAGGATTTAGCACTTTAGGGTTTCCATTGTTTGCCAGGAGCACAATAAGTGCATGTGTGTACTGGTATCAAGCTGCTTCAGGGAAGTCAGAGTGAGGTTATTGCTAAAAGGATTTCTATGTCTCATGTTTCATCCCCTGCAGGCCTTCCATCTCTTGCTCGTATTCTCACAATTTCAGGACCAGTCAGACATTGGGACCAATAAGTACCAGTTTCTGTAACCTTTACACGACTGGTGTCCAGACAATGTCGTCTTCATCAGCGCCCCACGTCAAGTCCAGATACCCCCAGTATCCAGGGTCCAAAATCAACCGCTTCCTCGTGCCTGATGACAAGGTGGGCTGGAGTCAGAACTGGCCGCAGTATAAACCCCTCAGCTACACCGACCCTTTAGTGGAAAAGAAGCCAGTATGGGCCGATCCTGAGATTGGGTGAGCAACACATTTCAATTAATGTTACATAAATTGGCTGTTGTGAGGCATTCTGACTGTAAACACTGTTTGTTTTTGAAGATCAGCTGGAGTTATTCATGCCTGTTTTTATGACATTTCCTTGTTTCTGCAGCTCTTTCTCTCCTAAGTTCAACACTGTGGACGGTGCTGTGGACAGGACAAGCTTTGAGGGCAGCTACAAAATGGAAAAGCAAAAGCCACTGTAAGTTATACCAAGAGAAATAGTTTTGTTGGATTGGTTTAGCTCGAAAACAGGTACTTCAAAGTCAAAAGTCAAAGTCACATCAGTATATGGTGCTTTCCAGGCCTTGAAGGGTAGAGAGTAGAATCTAAAAGAAAGTCACAGTAAAATAATTAGTTGTGAATCAGAATCAGAATACCTTTATTAGTCCCACGGAGGGGAAATTGCAGCAGAAAAGAGCCAAAGACAGCTTAATGTTACCTATGTTTATTTGTCAAATCATTTATATCTAAGGCTAATATGTTAGCAAGGACTCAGACTGCAAGGAATCTGGGTGTGACCCTAGATAACAAACTGTCCTTCACCGCAAACATCGCTGCTACAACCCGCTGCTGCAGATACACTCTTTACAACATCAGGAGGATACGTCCCCTCCTGACCCAGAAAACAACGCAGCTTCTGGTCCAGGCTCTCGTCATCTCACGCCTAGACTACTGCAACTCCCTCCTGGCTGGTCTACCTGCATGTGCCATCCGACCTCTGCAGCTCATCCAGAATGCAGCGGCTCGTCTGGTCTTCAACCTTCCTACATTCTCCCACACCACGCCGCTCCTCCGCTCCCTTCACTGGCTTCCGGTAACTGCTAGAATCCACTGGTACTAGTGTACCATGCTGTGAATGGATCTGGCCCTTCCTACATCCAGGACATGGTTAAACTGTACACCCCAGCACGTGCACTCCGCTCTGCATCAGCCAAACGGCTCGCTGCACCCGCACTGCGAGGGGAGGGGGACCCAAGGGGGACCCAAGTTCCCATCAGCAAAAACACGTGGGTTTGCTATCCTGGCTCCAAAATGGTGGAATGAGCTCCCCATTGACATCAGGACAGCAGAAAGCTTACACATCTTCCGGCGCAGACTGAAAACTCCTCTCTTTCGACTCCACTTCGAGCGATAAAATTACTAACAAAGAACTTATATACTAATAAAGGACTTGCTTATCTAAAGCCAGTTGAGTATCACTTACAATGTTTTGTCTCTATGAAACCTGATGTACTTATATGATTCTGTTTTCTTCAAGTTTGTATTTTGTTGGTCGAACGCACTATTGTAAGTCGCTTTGGATAAAAGCGTCAGCTAAATGTAATGTCATGTAATGTAATGAAGGATAGCTCCACAGAGCCCTTTCACATTTCCTTAGCCATTTCATTAATTGTTAATGTCAAGACATCGATTAAGCTTTGTAACAGGACTGGGCAGATAAAGAGAAAAGTTGTAGCAATCACGACAGAGGCAGTGTTCAAGTCCAAAAAAGAGGCTTTATTGCTGTTAAACTCAAAAATACCTTTAACTATACAAAGGCTAACATAGCCGGGCCGCTAACCGACTTACCAGCTTACAAAATGTTTCCTCACGCTGGGAGTCTCCTGCTCCCTCCATGTGCCACACACAACTGAGCAGCTCTGGGTGCTTTTGTCTCCCTTGAGGGAGTGATTAGCACCAGGTGTGAGGTCTCCACTAGTGATGTTACGTATTGCGCCGAGGCTTCGGAGCGTGTGTCGAGTAATCCCCAAAGCTTTTTGTGAAGCATGTATCGAGGCTTGTATCGTTTTGGGCCAGTGACGTCATCGATGACAAACGAAGCCTCGCTGCCTGTCGATACCACGTGACTGCTTCACGAAGCGATTCAGATCGGTTGAACCGTTGAACCACAACGCTCATAATACCCATGGATGTATAATAAGAACCATATTACCCCTCCTGTACCCGGGCCCGGTGACACGATGGAATCAAGAGAGCTCAGACCCTCACTTATATAGAGGTCGGAACATGTCATAAGTATAAATAGATACAAGCATAAATAAATGTAGGAATAAAAACATGAACAAATAAATACAGGAATAAATATGTTGCAGTGTTTTCAGGGAGCTTTAGTGTGTGTGCTGTGGCTCAGCTGGAAAGCAGTTGACTCACGACCGCAGGGTCCCTGGTTCAACGACTGAACAATACGTATTTTTTGTTGTTTATAAAAGCTACAGCTAAATGAGATAATGTAGTTAATAAATGTATACTTTGATATGGTTTAGCCTTTCTCAGGCTACAACATGGTTAAGTTTACGAATATTATTAAGGAATACAAATCCCTCTTTGCAATGTTTACCAGCCTCCTTAGGCTTTTCAATCACAATCATTAAACTGGAATAAATACAATATTGTTAACATGAAAATATGATTTAATGTTCGTTGTTTAGAGTTATTCTAAGGCTTTACTCAATGGGAACTCGGTATGAGATGATGGAGCACACTGTTGAGATGTCCAATCTGCCTGTTTTACACACTTTGACCAACAGGGGGTTTGTGTTCAAATGAAGCCCATGATGAAGCCTCATGAGATGAACCCTTTTGCGAACCAATTGGCTGGAAAGTTTCAAAGCTTCATAAGGCTTCATCTCACCATCACTAGTCTCCACACCTGCTCCCAATACTGTTAATTGGAAGCGGGTGGATCCACCTATTGGGAATGGTGCCTCCCACTACTCTGCCTCCCAGTCCCTTACAGCTTTTATAGTAATGGATAGACGTATATGGATGAGCTCGTTTTCTAAAAGTAATGTTTTTAATTGTACGGCCTACAACAATGCTGTGTGCTCTCGTTACTAAAGAGGTTTTTGTGTTTGTAAAATATTTTTGTATTTGCTTGTAAATGAATGATCTAATTGTATTCTTGTAGAAATCCCTGTGGACGCACAGGGGTGACAGGCAGAGGATTGCTGGGACGATGGGGACCCAATCATGCTGCAGATCCCATTGTCACAAGGTAACTTTGTCTTTACTTTGCATATTGATATTACCCTGATACTTATAACACAGCTCAGTACTCAATTTAGTAACATAAATAATTATTCAAATTGTGAAAATGCATTAAATACCTCACTACGAACAGCCAAGCAATTTAAGGTTCTTCACAAACACGATATCACTAGAACCGTTTTCTGTCTTCTTATAAAAAAAAAAGAGTTGTTCATTTGCCAGGAAACAAAACACTTTCTTTCATATTTTAAGATAAAATCCTCATTTTTTGTTTGTAAGATGGAAAGTAGATGCCAAAGGAGGAAAGACACTTCACTCAGTGTCAAAGCGACCTGTCCTGCAGTTTGTGTCCATCAAGAGGAAAGACTGCGGGGAGTGGGCCATTCCTGGGGTTAGTGGCTTTATATTTCTCCCTCTTCCAAAAAGTTAAAAGCCAAGACATTGATGGTGTTGAGTGGTTTAGGGTGTATATGTTGTCACTGTCTTGTGACTTGGCTGTGTATTTATATGTTTGTTTTGTAGGGGATGGTAGACGCCGGGGAGCAGGTCTCTATCACGCTGCAGAGAGAGTTCTCAGAAGAAGCTTTGAATTCATTGGTCATCACACCAGCAGAGAAAGCAAAAATCCGTGATCGCATCTCCAAACTCTTCAAATCACCAGGGTTTCAGGTCAGGAAAAGCCTCCCACTCTCTCTCTCTATTACTTGTTTTCTGCCACCTTTTAGTCAACAGTTTATTTTTTGTCTACAGGTTTATAAAGGCTATGTAGATGATCCTAGAAACACTGACAATGCTTGGATTGAGACAGTTGCTGTTAACTTCCATGATGACTCAGGTATAAATATTACGAAACATTTATTTTTTAAATTGCTATAATATTTTGTTTAAAAAGGCAAATGATGGATTATTTTACGACTACTAATTGCATACTTGACGTTCCCTAAGTTAAATACAGACATTGGATAAAGCCAGGTTCTTGTTAACATAGGGAATTAGTATTACTCCATTTTTTTAAATACCCTTGGAGGTTATAGGAGAAATCTATTGACGCAAATAGACCAAGAGTAATAAAAAGACACGTAAATGTGGAATTTGAATGTTTTTGCCTTTAGTTTCTCGTCTTAATTATCCAAACATTTTTCTTGAGATATTTTCTCTGGTGGCAACAAACAGGTTTTTTTTAGGGCCATGATGACATCTTTGTTGTTACCGTAGGCAACAGTGTGAGCGAGCTGCTGCTGCAAGCTGGTGATGACGCAGGAGAAGTCCAGTGGGTTGATGTTGACTCGTCCTTCCCGCTCTACGCAAGTCATTCCCATTTCCTGGAGCTGGTTGCCAAAGAGAGGAAAGCTCACTGGTAACCAAGGACGACGGACTCTACTCTGACACCACGATGAAGCAAAAAAACGTTATATGCATCTCTAGTTTGACATTCATATGTATGCCCACTAATGAATGATACATTGTGACTGCAGAATCTATTAAATGAATGAAACAAACAGGTTAAAGGGGCCCTATTATGCTATTTTCAGGTTTCATATTTGTATTTTGTGCCTGCACTGTGACATGTTTCCATGCTTTAATGTTCAAAAAGCTCTATTTTTGTCATACTGCCTTTGCTGCAGCACCTCTTTTCACCCTCTGTCGGACACCAGAGCCCAGTCTGCTCTTATTGGTTAGCTTACCGGTTCTGTTGTGATTGGTCAACCACTTAGGCTAAGGGGAGGGACCTCTCTATCACGTACAATGTGTGTTATAGTCTAATAAGGGAGAAAAGCTCAGCCCATAGTTATGTTGTTTGACTTTTATCCTTGAAAAGAAGAAAATTGAGATTCATTTTTAAACATTCACGTAATTGTTTGGAAGAAGCTTTATATGAGACTGTAAAATGCAAGATGCTGCTGAGTGGCAAACCAGATTATTTCTACTGGCACTAATTATGCTAATGTATTCAATGTTAGAAAGGATCACATTAGCCCAATGTGATCATGTAAGAACAAACACAAAGAGCTGCTGAACATAACACATACTACATTAATTTAAGTGTGATAAGGGAGGGCAATCAAATTGAAAAAGTGTACCCTGACTTTGATCTTTAGACGTGAATGGAATATGAAAATGTGCTGGAGCAAGTCACTGAACTACACGCCGGCTGAAGCTAGGAGACAAACATGTTTTAAGAAGTGATAACAGATGGTGGAAGCAAAGGCCATTTCACACATAACAGCCTGCCTTTTCCAAAATGTTCACATCAGTACGTGTCATCTCACTGCTGGGCGTACTTTGTGAGGAGGCAGGGATGCAGAATTACGCAAGAAGAGGCTGTTAGCATTCATGATAAAAACACTAACACTGGGACCCTTCTGTCATCAAATAACAGCCAGCAACAGACAACCAAGTCTTTGCAGTAAAACATATTTGTCTTCCGACTAATTAACAGATTTGAGATCTGATATGAATGTTATGTATGCTAGAAAAAAAAACTAGTGAGGAGGCCAATGAGGCACTTGTGGCTGAAAGGGAACTATTACTACAAAAACGTTATTGAAGGGGTAGCTCTGATTTTTGAACGGGGGTAATATGAAGTAATCATCCACAGTCAGTGTGTTCCCTGGAGAAAATAACAGGAGTTTGGGTGCAGGGCAATGATTTGATTTTGTCTTCTCTGCAGAATGTGAAATTAGTTTCAGTGTTATACATAAAGCCTTTCTTATTGTAATGTCTGTATGCTTTGATGTGAAAATATACCCATAAGTGTCGACTTACTAAACATGCACTGAAAGTCTGTTTATTGTTTTTTCATTTGACTCACTTGAAATTGTAAATCAGTAAGAATGATTGGGTGGATTTGTTCATTTTTAGCCATAAAATATATGTATCTAAGAAGTTGTTGCATTTGGAGCATTCATCTTTAATATTTATGCAAATCTTGAGATCTGATGCACTATTATTAATACAAATTATTTGATTTGTGTTTGATTTTAAGAGATCTTCCTCAATGTCTAATGTGTTTTTCTTCCCATTTAATGGCCGAATAAAATATATAAAAAATACATTTCATTGGTCAAATATTTGTTCATTGCTCCTTGTGTTTGTATACTGATGAGTTGCTTGCCGTCTGCTGTGTGCATTGGGTCTGCTATTGGATGCAGGCCCAAGCACTCTCTAAAGACTACTTCTGTGCGATGGGTTGTTACATCTCCAATCATTTACTAAATTGAGTGTGATGTTTGCCTCAATGGCCTTGAACTGCTTGAACCACACATTAATCTGTTAGTCTCCACTCCAGTCCTCACACAGACAACAGCAAGCTATACTGCCTCATTACTGCAGTTATGTGAGAACAAATCAGTGAGACAGAAGGTGGGAGGCAAATCAGTCTTTTAAACTTATATAAACCATACACTGTATTTGCTTGGTGTCATCATTTATTAATAATATTAGTGTTTCCAGCTAGGCTCATGGCAGTACAGTAATGTGGATTTCATTTCAAGACAGCCTTTGTGGTGTGTAGTTCTTTATCTTTTACAGCTGCCTACATGTATTTACTGTAGACATAAGTGCATCAGACAGTCTTGTAAATTCTTCAAATATAGTTATACCCTTAAACAGAGCTTGAATGTACACAATATTAAGTGTCGAACCTGTTTTCGCGTTTTATACTGTTTTTTGTTTCGTTAGCATATGTGGCTGTTGGTGGACTGACGCTACATACATTCAATGGAGTAAACTACATAACCCAGAAGCCTTTGCGACAAAAGCCGTTCCATTCCATCTGAGGACGTGGCTAAGCTTACGTCTCAACCCCGTGTGTTAGCAGAGCAGACCGGGGCGATTCAAACAGGGGTAACCGGCTTTGTTCATAGCTAGCACAGAGAGTAATTTACTTCAACATTTATATACAGAAGTGAGACATCCTCCCCGTGGTACAATGTCTGGGAAAATCAAGAACCGAAATGCTGCAAACGCAGAGGCGCTAACCGGCGGAGTGTCCTGCGATGAGCGTATCTTGCGGGACTGTCATCAACTGTACACGGATCCAGCCAGTGGTGAGTTGGTGACTATATTTTCTTGCCTCAAACAATCACCTCACTGGAAATTGCTACAACTTTCACACATGTTTGAATAAAGTTAGTCTAGCAAGCTGTTTTGCTGACCAAGGGTTTGCTAGCTAACTTGTTGAGACGTTAAACCTGACACAGGGGGCTAACAGTTAGCTAGCTATTAAGCAAGAAGTGTGGGATTTGATTCTCATCACGCGAGCTAACCAATGCTAGTTTTATTAGCCACGTATGGAGAGCTGGCAATTAGAGTCAGCTACAAAATGACAACGGGTTAGCAGTGTATGCTAGCTAGCTCTGAACATGCTAAGTTTAATGGTGACAGTTCATTAGAGACTGTTCACTCAGGGCGTGATTCAGGGGCCACGCAAGGAATGATGGGTCCCCAGAAAAATAATGAATGAATGAATTGCATCAGATTTTTAAAATGCCATCCTTAGTTTAAAATCCACTAAATACAAATACTCCTGCTGAAGTGTGATGGGCCTTTCTCCAGCTCCTGTAGCAGTCTTGCTCTTGACCTGAGAGCTGTCATAGCTCCAGTTTAACTTGATGAATACATCCTGGATTTGACAAAAGTCTGTTATTTTTTCAGGGTTGATCTCTGTTGCCGAAACTGTTGGCGTGAAGCTGCTGGCCCCCAGGAAAAAGATCACTGTGATGCTGATGGGCAACCACTCTGCTGGGAAAAGCTCCTTCATCAACTGGTGAATATGTTTGACAGAGAGAAAATCACATTTCTCTACGCTTAGCAAACAAAGTGATGACTTGCATGCAACCCAATGAAACGTGAAAAGCGTGAATCAGAAAATCACATGTTGAAAAGATTTAAAGCAACAGGTCTACATAGAACTCCAAGTTAAGTCTCTGCCTGTCCAGCTTTATTTGTTTCTGTTGCATTCTGGGACACCCCTCCTTGGCACAGCTTTGTAATCGTGACTGTTTCGTTTTGTCTTTTTTTTGTCAGGTATGTTGAAGAGCACATCCAGCGCACAGGAGTGGCCATTGAGACTCAAGGCTTCAGCTTTGTTACAAGTGGGCGCAAGAGAGAATCTCTCACAGTGAGTGCAACAACAGCACAAAAACAAAAAAGCACAATTTATTGTAAAATAGCTTAATATGTTGCAACATCTGCTGTTTTATTGCAGTTTTTATTTCTTCATTTTAATTACTTGGAACTATTTCCAATGTAGTATTTCCGTTCTTCTTAAGGTCCTGATACCTGGTTCACATTCCCTACTAATGCAGTTCTGCTTTTCTTTAGGGAAATGCCACCCTTCATCTGTATCCACATTTCAAGCCTCTGCAAGAGTTCAAAGGTGAGATTTCAGCTCTTATCACTATCTGTCCCTGTTGATGATGCACTTTAACATAGTGCAGACAAAACTTGGTGCGTGGCCGGCAGCACCCCTTGAACTTTAAAAACAATAATCAAGCTCCCAGAATCACTAGACTGACACGACTATACCAAACCGAACTTCATAGATTAAGTGACATAACATGATAAGCATGATGGAGCAAGACAAAAAAACTGTGACAGTGTTAAATGATCTGTATCAAATGTTAATAAACATGTCATCATCTGCTGTCCACCAGCTTTCACCCATCTTCTTGAATTTGTATCTAGGTGTTTCAGAGTACTTGAGCACAGAGATCTGCACGTCGCGACAGAAACGTTTCAGCCTGGTGACGTTTGTGGATTCACCGGGGCTGGTGGACGGTGATATGAAGTACCCCTTCGATGTGGACGAAGTCATCATGTGGCTGGGTGAGTAGCAGCTATCTTACATATTATCATAAAATAATACAAGATTAAAGAAGTGACATTTGTTCACTCTGTTGTTTCCCCTTAAATTGAAATATTGGCCTAAAAAGTGTGTGTGTGTGTGTGTGTGTGTGTGTGTGTGTGTGTGTGTGTGTGTGTGTGTGTGTGTGTGTGTGTGTGTGTGTGTGTGTGTGTGTGTGTGTGTGTGTGTGTGTGTGGTGTTGTGTGTGTGTGTGTGTGTGTGTGTGTGTGTGTGTGTGGTGTGTGTGTGTGTGTGTGTGTGTGTGTGTGTGTGTGTGTGTGTGTGTGTGTGTGTGTGTGGTGTGTGTGTGTGTGTGTGTGTGTGTGTGTGTGTGTGTGTGTGTGTGTGTGTGTGTGTGTGTGTGTGTGTGTGTGTTGTGTGTGTGTGTGTGTGTGTGTGTGTGTGTGTGTGTGTGTGTGTGTGTGTGTGTGTGTGTGTGTGTGTGTGTGTGTGTGAGATTAGCCATCTTTCCCCAGGTTAACTGTCTCTCACCACTTCCTTAGCAGGCAAACTTAGATGTACTCAAAGCAAACTGTTAAAAGTCTTGTAATCTCCTTTCAGGGAAATTATATTGTCACAGTATAATGAAACTGTGTCTAAAAAGCTTCACAAAACCGTTTAAAGAATATAACTCACAACTTTTCTCTTTTGGCATCACAC